GCTACCAATTTAGCTACCAATTTTTTTCCTTCCTTTTTTTCCAGCTCAATACAGATCTCACAAATTCTTGTCTGTTAAAATCTATGACTTGAAATGGATACTGTAGGTAGGGTAGATATTGTTTCTATTAACTGGAAACCATTACTATAACAGCCATAGTATAATTATGCTTCACTTGCAATAAGGCAAATTTAAAAAGTGAAGGAATTCAGTTCTTCATAAAGAAAGATTTTCTGCTCATGAAGATTGTTAAACCAACTTTAATGTTTTAGCCAGCAAAGTGGTCTCGAAAATATATGATATTTTCTCTACTGTTTAATCATCAACCAACATGTTTCTTGTCCACCTATTACTAGGTGTGAAGCATTATGTGCAGCTCTTATGTGGGATAAATTATTTTCTTAAACAAATAGCAAAGCAAAAATCAAGAGAACCCTCAAGAGCTTTTAATCTATTTGGACAGATAAGACACAAACATAGAACAACATGAGTGATCCCACTGGGCTGTCACAGGCGTGGGCCAAAGAGCTCATTCAAACAGGAAATGCAAACTTCTCTGGGGTAGGGTGGTCAGGGAAGGTTGCTTCTAACGGTCAGGTCAGGTTGCTTCTAAAAACAACCTAAAAGAAGCAGTCGTAGCAAGCGGTCTTGGTCATTAGAGCAGGCAGAGTGGTGGGAGATGGTAGATAGGAGATGGTTAGCTAACAGGAGAAATGTTCCAGAAAAGAGATCTAACTTGAAGATGGCAAGGTATGCAAACGGAGTGAAGACGAGAGTACAGGCAAAGTGTGCACATTTTCTCTTTCACACAGTTTCTTTGTCTCCCTCTCTCTATCACGCACAGACACACACACCCAGTTGTTCAGAGGTATGCATGACGTACTTTTGATCTCTAAATGTTTTCGCACTCTCATCTCTCCTACCTTCTCTCTATCACGCCATCCCTTCTTTACTTTCTTCCTCATCCATGCTTCTTTCCTTTAGCCCCAGTCTGCTCAGCAATTGGAGTATTGGTCACTTTCCACTGTCCTCATTCATTACTCAAAAAAGTATACATGGAAATTCTTGGGGCTGCTTCTGAGGAATTCTAGGGTTTTAGGGCTTAGAGCTATAGAATCTTAGCAATCAAAGAGCTCAAAAACTTAGTTTATGCTTCCACGATAGAGACTGATATAAGATCTCTCAACAACTAACAGCTTCTTTGCTTCCTTCTAATACTGCTTTCACGCTGTTAGTAAACATATGGAGAGCTTTCAACTTGCTCTGTTTACACAGTAGGTCTAAATCTTTCAGGTTGTGATTGACTTGTTTATCATCCATTGTTTATATTAAATGAGCTATTACATATCAACGAAGTATTTTGGTAAAATGGCGACCACACCAAGTTAAAGACCTAATGTCAAATTCAAGAGCAGATAGCGGGTCAGCAGCAACCAGCTACATACATTGTAGCACCATCTCCTATTCTGCCAATTAACATCAAGAAAGAGAAGGCAGGAAAGGAAAGGTAGGCTTTGCCCATTTGTAGGAAAATGGATGCCGCTTGAGATCATAATGATGCTAAGGGAAATGAGTCAGATCCACAAGCGTCAATATCACACGGCTTCTCTTATACGAGAAGCTCACAGTACAAATAATTTAATGAGCAAAATAAAAGAAAATGGAAAATAGGAAACAGGAATATAGACCTTTTGCAAAGAGATGGAGGGAAAGAGAAGTGAAAAGAATTAAGAGGTGCTATGTGCATGTAACAACACCCCATGATGAATTCAATCATTGTGTACTACACACATGTACTAATAAACATTAAAAAGTTGAAAGTGAAAACAGCTCCCTCAGAAATTACCCCAAAAGCATAGAGGTTTCAAAAAAAAATCCAGGTTAGCTGTGTTAGATTCATGTTCTGTTATATTCATAAATCACAGCCAAGTCAGCTTCTTGAGCATTTCAGTAAGAGAAATAATAGTTTTGCTTTCCCACGTCAATGGTTTCATGAATTGTGCTGTGTTCTTTTTATTTCAAGTAAAACAAATTCTGTAGGCTTCATTGAAAATATCATATTCTGCTTAACCATTCTCCCTAACCTTCTGGAGTGTGCACACACATGTACACACACACACATACACACTATATTAAAAAAAAGAATCTATCTATCTATCCATCCATCTATTTTTGAGACAGAGTCTTAACCATCTAGAGTAAGTCACTCAGGCTGACCTCAAACTTGTAACCCTGCATCAACCTCCTTAGCACTGGGATTATGAGTATATCCCACCACAGAGTAAGATTTGAATTTAGAAGATGAACAAACTGAGAATCATCCCTGTAAAAAATAGAAATCTAGAGTTCACCAAACACTAAATGAGACTTTTTAATAACCATTGTGTTAGATTAACTGTGTTCTTTGATATAAGAATTTTTGCATGATATATTTCAAGCAAATCACCTTCCTCATCAAGGTAGGTCATTGTGGTTTTGATGATAATTTACAAACTAGCAGGACTCCATCAATAATTTTGAACAAAACTCAACATGCATATAGAAGCCTCTAGATTTGGATCTTAGCCATTTGAACTTGTGACATTCAGAAAAATATGTCCATTAAAATCTAGGTTTAGGCCCAGTCATCTTGACAACCTTTGGCAAAAACTAAAATATTATTATAAACTAAGGTCTCTTCTGTTAACTTACCAGAATTACTTAAAAGTTTAGGAAGATTCAACAGATAACTAAACATAGTCTACTTTTTATTTTAAAAGCCTGGTTTAAAAAAAATGTCTCTTGCTAGGTGGGTTAGCTCAGTGGCGTGAGTGCCTACTTGGCAAACGCAAGGTCATGACTCTGATCCCCGGTCCCCCTTCCCCCCAAAAAACTGTATCTTGAAGAACTTTTGGTGTTATGTTACTGTTAAAGAATGTATCTAAGTTCTGAAGATGGTGGCTTGATAGGTAGCAGGGTAGAGGGCCTCTCTGAGAAAAACTCAGATGCTAGAATTTAAGAACGTGGAGAAGACCGTTGTTTTGTCTTGGCTGATTTTATTCGAATTTGGTGTGCTTGATTGTATCAAATCTAAGAGTAGAGGCAACTACTCTGAAGATGACAAGATGCAATAAGATACCCATTCCGGTTTGATTATTAACTGCTTTTGAAGTCCTACAATGTCTCCAATGTTGTGTTTTTATTAAAATTACCATGTAATGCTATGTTCATTTATATTATGCCTGACGATGTAGACAATGCTATTGAAAATAACAAGAGACAGCATAGTAACTACTGTAGATTATCTAGTATTGTAGTTTTATATGTCTTTTTCATTTCATGTTTTTCTAGGAACTTGTTTTGTTGTCTTGTTTTGATCTGTTTTTCCCTATAATACAGAAAAGATAGATATACATGTAGAGATTCACACATGTGTAGACTTTCTAAACAGTTTATGGGAACAGATTATATAATGCATGATGTAATGAACAGATATTCTGAAGAAAGAAGAGACACTAAGATACGCAGTGCTACTTCTGTAGCATTATGATATAAAATCTAGCAATACTATCCTTCACTGTTCACAGTGATATTAGTCTAGCCTCTTGTGTTTAATTTCAACACATGTAAAGACATGGACAGCTATTTCGAAGAGACATTATGGCAGCCATTGTTGACTTTCCTATTGTCTGATCTTGAAGACATAAAACGTCTTCATCATCCTGTTCTGATTAGTTTAGTACTATCATGTTCAGTATGTATTCATTGTGTGTGGAGATGGGGACAACTGTTTGAAGAAAACAAGAGACAATGTGATAAACAGTGAAGATCTCCAGTGGTCTTGCTTTGAAATCTGTGTTTCTTAAAATTATTTCCTTATGATCTGTTTTGTTCTGTTTAATTTTACCCTCTTTAAAATAAAAAAAGTATCTAGTCAATGTGTTTATTTCCATATCAGTCTTTTTAAGAAGACATTTATGTGCCTAAGTCTAGTCATTGTCTTACTTCAGAAGATTTGATATTCTCCATGTAATTAGATTCTTTCCGTTCTTCTCTTCCCTCCCCTCCCCTCCCCTCCCCTCCCCTCCCCCTCCCCTCCCCTCCCCTCCCTTTCCTTCCCTTTCCTTCCCTTCCCTTCCCTTCTCCTCTCTTGTTGTTTCTCATCTCCTCCCTCTCTGGCTCAGTCTCAGTTGCAGTCTCTCTCTCCTCTTTCATTCTCTCCCTCTTCTCCTCTTCCTCCTCCTCCTTTCCCTTCTTCTTTTGCTCCCTCACCACTCAATCATCTGGCAACTTTCCTGGGTCCCTAAATCAGAAGGAGACTGTTATTGATATCTTCCAGGATGTTAATTGCAAGAAGAGCTTTATCTCCTAGGCAGAAGACACTACACGAATGTTTGGTTTGCTGCATATCACACTGTTAACAAGGTACTTACAGATTCAAGGAAAATAGATTGTAAGACATTACCAGGAGGACTTAACATTCTGAAAAAAACCTAAGAGATAATTCTGAAGAGTCTGAAATTTTAAAAATACCCACCACTTAGACACAATCTTACAGGAAAAAGTAGAAGGGGAGTTTTTAGAAAAGTGGAAAATAGGTATGAAAGGCAAAGAAAGAAGTTTTTTTTAAAAATCCTATCCAGTAAGCATAACCAGTCTTAGAAGGTAGTATATGTACATTGACTGTCCTCATTTTGGACCTAATAATCCAGTCTTATCCCAAAGTGTTCAGTGGAATACTTGGTCTGTCTTTCACCTGCACTTTAAAAGTGCAGCTCATCGGTAAGTTATGCAGGCATGTCCTTGAACTGCCACCAGGAAAAGAAGGTACCGAAGTATCTTAACAGGTTCGTCATGAGCATCCATCCGCTCTGCTTAGAGCGATTCACCTGCAGGCATTGTTTGTGAGGAAGTTAAAAGATTGACACTTACAGCTCCCCTGGCACATGGGAGGAAACCGAAGAGATTTTTTAATCTGAAAGCTTTTATCAGCTGTGGGAAAGGTTGCTCTGGGCACTCACCATCTGTATGGATCCAAAGGCAGCAGGGCTGTGCCTTCTCCTTGTGTCACGTCAAAGTGTAATACACTGATGCCGCACAATATACTGCCAAACTGAAAAGGCAGGAGGAAGAAATTATACATCCTTCTGTGAGGAACTGTCTTGAAAGACCAGCGCTTTGCTCCAATCCCATGAGCTAAATTGCTTGAAAGCAGACTTTGCAGCTATGGTCCCTGCCATGTGGTGTTTGCTGAGTCCTCCCTGGATACCCTAAAACACTTAAGCCTAAAGAGTTTAGAATGTGTGCGGAGGCCGTATTATGGAGAAAACAACTTTATCTTTGTGGGCGAGGCAGCACACAATATATATACAGCACACAATATATCTTTGTTGGATACCTTCTCTCTTCCCTGAAAAAGAGTTTAACAAACAGTTCTCCAGTAAGTCGGATGGGAAAGCCAGTGATTGCCTGGAGATGAATTACTGCGGCACTCCAGGTTCAGGGCATTGAAGGCAAGCGGGAACAGGCTTACTCAAGTGCATGGACAAGGATATACCTGGAGGTGGGACAAGAAAGGGGTGCCCCAGAAGTTCAGGTGTGGGCATTTGTCACCACAGGTAGGAGGAAAATGGTCCAGACAAACGGTGAAGATGGGAAAGGAGATGGGAGGGTCTCAGAAAGGGGTTTCTCTGAGAATCCAAAGACTGTTTAGAAGTCAGAGACATTTTTCTGATATTAATAGGAGACTACTTGGCCCTAAGATAGTCAAAACAGTAGAATTTTCAAAGTGATAAAAAACACAGACATTTTTGTAAATCGTGTACAGGCCATCTCACCTCCATGTAAGATGCCTCCAGGGGTCTCCCAGACTCCTTCACTGGCCCCTGTGGCCTGGCCTTCACACGCATCCCGGGTTCAGTGGTGCAGCTCCAATGAGTGGCCTCTCTGGGGCCCCTTTCCCCAGGTTCTCCTTGTTATCCACCATAACTCCTCATGTACGCCTCCCAAGGCCTCTGTCCACCATGCTGCTTCCACCTCAAGGCTTTTCCTCACCACACGTTGAACTCACTACCATCGGTAATTATTTAGCTTAGCTGTTTGTGCTTGCTATATAATGAGAGTCCTGCTTTCACTATATAATGATAGTCATAAATCAAAGACCATGTCACTGTTTTTCTCCATTTTACCATCAGGACTTATCACAATACTCAGCTCTTTTTTTTGTTTGTTTGTTTGTTTGGTTTTTTGTTGTTTTGGTTGGGTTTTTTTGGAACCAAGAATGGAACTCAAAACCCCACGCCCGCCAGACAGGTGCTGTGCCACTGAGCTATATAACTGACCCCACAATACTCAGTTTCTGATAAGAGCTATACAAATATTTAACAAAATGATACAAATGAAGATTCTGAGGGCAAAACAGAAAAAATAATTTCCTCAAAGTCTTTCAAATCACTAATAGCAGAACTGACAGAGTGTTAGAGTGTACTAAGAAATCCTGATTGTAAATGTAAGTAAAATACTCTCAGGTCAGAGTACATTGACATTAGTGCATGGCTTCTCTTACCTAAGAAACACAAAAAGTTTTTAAATACAGGTAAAGTGCAAAATAGAAGACAGGTAAATAGAAGGTAAGGAAAAGTTTAAATGTTTCCCTAAATTTCCTATTTGGTTGCTTCAAAAACATTTTAATATATATGCTAACATGTTTCATTTATACTAGTTTATCTTAATTTGTTGAAAAGCAATTTTTCTGTTATTATCTGTTTATTTCTTCCTAGTATAGATCTTCTTGTTCTATGTACTTTATTTCAAAGATAGTAAAACATAGTGTATTAACCACCGTTATTCTTTTATTACTTTGTTACCAAAATTTGGAATTTTTTTATAAAATTAAAAAAAGACAAATGTGCTAAAGTTAGGTGTTCAGTTGGTACTCAGGTTTTTGGAAAAGTTATTCAGCAGAAGCGTTGTGGGTGAGACTATCAGAACCAAGTTTCCTGTGGGTATCAGGAGAAGCTGTGGTGAATGCACTTAGCTACCCCTTTCCTTGCCCATGTCCAGCCACCTTCCTCTACCTCAAGGTCAGCTCTTGTCTCCCTTTACCCAGAGGACTTCCCCAAAGCCTACAGTTCGGGTACTTTGATTTTTCTTCCTTTCATTTTCTTCTTTTATAAAAATTTCTTTTTGGCACCTAGAGTCAAATTCAGGACCTCGCGCTTGCCAGGCAGGTGCCGTGCCGCCGAGCTAACTCCCCCTCCCATCCCACCCTTTCTTCTTTTCTTGTTGCTAGTTCCTGTTCTGCTTTGCTCTGTGCAGGGCCCTCCTCTGCACCAAGAGGACAGCTTGCTGTTGAGCTGCAGCTTTTAATCTCCACTGCTGGTTGAGCAGAGGGAGGGTTCCCCCCAAGACAGGAAAGAAGGGAGGTGGTTAATGGCATTCTCACTGTTGGCCTAGACTTGAAACCAGTCACTTATTGGATGCTATTGTGACTTTTCCTGGATAAGAAAGAGAGAGATATCTTATTTATTTACTTTTTGTTACTTTTAAAGGAAATCTTAATCCTGGATTTGTAACTCCCCAGAGAATCTTTAATAGCACAAAAGGGTGTTACAAAATTCTAAAGTATCAAGAAACAAAATCACTCAAACTAATAAACATGCCAGTCAGTTCTCTATGGGCCCGGGGAAGGTAATATCATGAAATGAAGCTGTGATCACCTTTTAAAACTCCCAAAAGGAGAGTCACTTCAGGCTAAGTAAGTTGTTATTGGTGTTTAGTTTAATTCTGTTTTGTTTTTGTAATCTCATCTCTCCTCCATAATCACCCTGTTTGTGTTCCTGAACGCTTTTGAAAGGAATATTAACATTAATCGCAGACTTTTACTGAATACCTACTGTGTGCTAGGCACTTTACAATGGCTCTCATCCTCACAACAACCTTAATGGGTAGATATGTTTGTCACTACTTAAAATGAGAAAATTAGCTTTTAGAAAAGTTAAGTAAATTGCCCTCAATAGGGAGCTGTTATGGTTTATATTTAGATGTCCCCCTAAGTCTCATGTCCTCATTGGTGCAGCTGCTAGGGGGTGCCTGGGTCATGGGGACGTGATACTCATCAGTGGGTTAGTCTACTAAAGAGCTTATAGCTAAACGTGATGTTGGGTGGGAAAGTTTAGTGAGGGGAGCTGGGTCACTGTGGGGCCTAGAAGACTGTATCTCCTTGCCTCCTACTTTAGCCCTCTCTTTTCTTGCTGCCTGCCATACCATGAGCTGTTTCACCTCTGCCATGCCCCTCTGCCATGCCACCGTGTCTTAAAGCCAGCTGACTGTGGACTCCAATCTCTGAAAACTGTGAGCTAAAATAAGATTTTCCTTAGAGTTGTGGGTGTCAGGTAGCATGTTCCATAGATGAGCCAGTATCCAAGGCAGAAATAAAGTCTGCTAAACACTGCACACCTGTGCCTGACATCAATGCTGTGCCCTGCGGTAGCTGAGGGTGGATTATTAATCTTTCTCCAAACACCTGACCTCCACTGGCCCAAATATAAATGCTACGGAGGAAACTTGTGTTTGTTAGATAGAGCCTGCTTCAGAATAACTGACTTGATCCCTTCACCTCTCTCCCACTGCATTTGCCACCTCTGAGTTTATTTTATACAGAACTTCTAGAAATGACAGTGTTTTGCACTATATCACATGACATATAAACAAAATAAAGTGTCATGAAAGTTTGAGTTTGAGGCATTGGATTCAGAGTCCTGTGGTCTAGATGTTACACCAAGAGCGGCAAACTAAGATTTCTGAAGAGCGCACTGCATCATCTTATCTTGTGTTCCTCCAGTTCTCTGCATGTCTACGATTCTCTCATTTGATGTTTTCTACCCAGTTGTAAATTTCATGAGAATAGGAGATAAGTGTTTGATTGTTCAGAAAGCACTAGAGAGCACATAAATATGGACCTTTTTGTTCAATATAAACAGAGGCAGAAACTCAATAAATGTCTAATTTATGTTCATGTTTCTAAAGTCTTATTGCTAACAACAATAAAAAGAAGCTCCTAAGGATCATAAAGCCATCTTTGACACAGAGCTCACCTCTCAAAGTGCTTGCAAAGAACCCAATCCCATCACATCGGGATGCGACAGCTCCTCGCACTCAAAAGAACATGAGAAACCTTATGCTCTTGCAGAATTTAAGCAATACAATATTAGGTAAGCTTCAGCAATTATAATCATAGAGACTAAGTAGTAACATTAAATAATGCTTATGACCAATTATTTAAAAGCCAGAAATTAAAATTTTATCTATGCTATTGTATCAGAAGAATATTTTTGAAATATTAACTATTTGCCCAATATTTCCTTCCCTGCTTTGATCTTTCCCTCAACTCAGATGCCAGATAAGATTTTCTTCATCTCAGGAAGAAGTTAGGAAAGCAAAAAACAGAGTAAAGAGACCTTTTCATATTTCTTAGGGTAATGTTGTTGCTGTGTTATTGGTGTTGCTGTTGTCTTTAATAGAGCCAAAAGGACCCAGACTAGATCGAGATCAGAAATACAGGGTTAGAGAAGCAAGAAAGGCCATGGCATGGCAGGGGCCAGAGAGAAGGGCTGAACTTTTACTCCACAGCCAACCTCTGGGAAGAAGCAACACCCTCAAGAAGTGGGAATCTGTGATTGGTTGGGTTTCTCAGCCCTGCTCCTTACCACCATCGCCATCTCCATCCAAGCACATGGCCCAGTAAAGCCCTGAAACTAGATCCATGTTAGTGGATGTAAGGGGTAGCTGTTCAGCAGCTGGGAGAGAACACTGCTCAAGGAAAATGCAGGCTGAAGGGCATCTTGGCAGATGCCTGTGTGTCTTTAAAGATGACTTTGAAGATTTGATGCAACCGAGGAAAAGGAAGAGGCATGCAGGACTGATTGCAGCAATGTTTCCACTGTGCCCAGAAAGGTAGGGTTTAAAAGAAAAATCAGTCTACTGAGTCAGGAAAAAGTCAAGAAGGATAGGTGGCTTGCTCTTCTGTGATTAAAAACTAAATTTCGCATCTTCTCACCTGTGGTTAACATGACAGATGACATCTGTAAGATAACAGTGACAAATGAGGAAAAC